AATAATCAACACCGTATGTTTGGGTGTATTCTTTGGCAACCAACCGAGCTTTTAAATGCTCCGTTATAGTGTATATCCAATGACAACTAACGGGTTGTTTCCCTGGAGGAATCAAAGTGAGATCCCAAGTTTGATTCTCATAAAGAGTTTTTGTTTCCTCATTCATAACTAGTTTTCATTCAGGAAATATCAAAGCCTGTGTCAAGGAACTAGAAACCACCACAGATAATGAAGTAGATGCAAAATAACAGAATGATAAGGAAAGCAAATGGAAGGAAACAAAATTAGAAATTGGATGCCTAGTACAGTTACGAGTATTTTTTCTCATAGCAATAGGCAAATCGGAGGAGGATGAACTAGCTGACGGCTCAGAAGACAGGACCTAGAATCAGGTGATAGTTGTGGAGTTGGAGCATTTGGAACCCAACCTGTCTGTCCTTGGAACGACGATAAACCTACAAGGGTGGTGTAGTAGTCGAGGGGGAATGAGATACATAGTCTGGTATAACAGGCAACAAGGGCTCTCTTGATTGTGAAAGACTAAATTTGGTGAAAGTATGTCTTAGTGCAGAAAAGAAAGACGATGACTCAAAAAACATAACATCAGCACTGACGTAGTATCGGCGAGAGACAAGGTCACAGTATCAATATCCTTTATGAGTATGAGAATATCCCAAAAAGATACACTTAACTGAGTGNGGAGCATTTGGAACCCAACCTGTCTGTCCTTGGAACGACGATAAACCTACAAGGGGGGTGTAGTAGTCGAGGGGGCATGAGATACATAGTCTGGTATAACAGGCAACAAGGGCTCTCTTGATTGTGAAAGACTAAATTTGGTGAAAGTATGTCTTGGTGCAGAAAAGAAAGACGATGACTCAAAAAACATAACATCAGCACTGACGTAGTATCGGCGAGAGACAAGGTCACAATATCAATATCCTTTATGAGTATGAGAATATCCCAAAAAGATACACTTAACTGAGTGAGGCGAAAGTTTATCTTGATCCAGATCAAGAAGATGAACAAATACAACGCAACCAAAGACACGAGGAGTGAGTCTAAATGACGGTCTATCAAAATAAAGCAATGAAAATGGAGATTTGTTGTCCAAAATGGGAAAAAACATGTGATTAATAATATAAACTGAAGTAAGAATAACATTAGCCTAATATGGTTTTGACACATGCATGTTAAAAATCAAGGTGCGGGCAACATCTAATAGATGACGATGTTTATGTTCGGTAATGCCATTTTTGTTAAAGGTAGGAGGACATATAGTTTGATGGATAAGGTTACAATCTACACAAAAATCTTTCATAAATGATTGAATATCCTCAAAAGCATCCCCAGATTGAAGGACTTTAATACGGGTATCGAACTGAACCAGAATTTCATTATAAATAGTGGTAATGACATTAGGCAATTCAGATCAATCTTTCATAAGAAATAACCAAGTCATATGAAAACAATCATTTCTGCTGATGACAAAATATTAAAAACCAGAAATATTTTTGACTCTTGTAGGATTCCAAATATTTGTATGAACTACATGAAATGGACTGGGCTGACGATCGGAAGAACTAGGAGGAAAAGAGCTACGATGATGCTTACCTAATTGGCAAGTCTCACATTCTAACACATAAGTAGAGCTCACATCAGGAATAACTTGACGTAGCTTTTGCAAGGAGGGATGATTTAGTCAACAATGCCATTGAAGAGGAGACACAATAACACTCAAGATACAAACAAAATCATCAGAAACTTAGTAAAGGCCATTGCACTCGGGTCTCACACCAATCACCTTCTTCGTTTTGAGGTTATGAAAAACACAAGGAGAGAATATCATGGAATACTGTAAGGACTTACTTAACTGGCTCACAGATAACAAGTTAAATGGCATGGTTTACGAATTGGTCGAGTTGTATCCGACTTAATATCTTTCGAGACGATATTGTTACATGATATATATAAATTCCAAATATCGCATGACTCGATTGAGTTGTCCGAGTTGTATCGGAGCCGGTCCCGTGTCGCGGAGATATCGTTACCAAATTGGCCAATACGGTTCCTCAATGCCGCAATATGACCTGAATCTCTCTTCATGTTTAATATTTTTTTTTAGGTTGTATTGCTCAATGTCGCGCCACAACGCCGCGATCGATGTGTCTCAGAGCTCTTCGAGTCGATGGGTAATACCATGACCTTGAACCATGTTAAATGGAAAAATTAGGAACTAACAAATCAGAAGTTGAGGGCATAGACTGAGTAGGATGGAGATCCCAAGTTCCATGTACTGGTCGAAAGGAACCATCAACCAATACGATACGTGAATTACACAAACGAGAATTAGAAAACAAAAAAGAATTACCAAACATATGAGCACTAGCTCTTGAATCAATAATCTAAGATGACAAAGAAGGTTAAGCAACTATACATACAGGGTTACCTCCATTAGTAAGGCCGATAGGAAGAACAGAAGAATGTGTAGAAAATAAAGATATCTGTTGGATGAATTGACGTGACTGAGAAGAAAGATCATCATAAGAGTCGGTAGTATGAGTAACTAGATCATTGGTAAAAGTCTGATTTACTCAAGAAGTATCATTAGAAACCCGATGAGTATATGTTAGTCTCTCATATTTATCCCAACAGTAATTCTCAATGTATCCTGTACCACTACAATAAGTACATTCCTACCCAGATCGATGACCATGACCACCTTTCAAAGGTGCCATAAGGAATAAAAACACAAATAACTACTCTGTTGTAAGAAACTACAAGACCAATAAACTACCAAATAACACACCAACAAGTAGATTAAACCAAATGTAGTGGAAGGGTAGCATAATACACTGAGAACAGTAGCACGTCACATTGCAAAATTAACAAGCTCATAAAGTACAAACTCAGCTAATCAAGTAAATCAATAACCTAATAATTTTGGCGAAAAACCCATCATTACTGTGCTCAGCCTTGAAGATTGGAGAAGCAAAACACTAATTTTTAGAAAATAATCTGTAGCGAGGCAGATAGATAGCAGTAAACAGTATTAGGGTACAAAATCAAGCCAAAAAACCCAAAACCTTATCACCTTTGCACAAAACAAGGTTGTCCACTCACCAAAACCACCACAACAAATAATAGGTTAGCCAAAAAAAAAATCAACAATATATATGCAACATGTAGAATCAATTAGAAAGATATCATCAATGGGCAAAAATCAAATTGTCGACTTACCAAAGCCACCAAAAATTTCTTCACAAATCAACCCAAATGCCCTAAATTACCCAATTGAGTAAACAAGCCCTTTAGTTACACCCTGTAGTATTGGTTTGAAGCAATAGAATCGAAGAAAAAAAATCAAGAGAATATCAGATCAAATAGATTACTCCACAACATGAGTTGGCCACATCAAACTTAGGTGTCAAAAAATCAAACCAACCAGAAGTCCAAATAGCAATTCTGGTGAATTTGGTCAATGCGGATAACTTCTCAACCAAAAAAAATATCAAAAATTCATCCAAAACTAATTGGGTAGCTCACCAACACCCTCTAATACTCTAGTTGCACCTCTCTAGTGGGGATTGGCGCATCAACAACACTTGCAAGGGCTCGAATTATTCTTCGCCGAGTTATTGTTCGTCGGTCATTGTTCACGAAATTATTGTCCGCGAGACACTGTTCACAAGGTACTGTTCAGGCAGTACTATTCATGTGACACTATTCATCAGTTTAAAAAAAAAAACTTAAATTGCTGCATTGATACCAAGTTAAAAAAGTAAAGAGTATAATATTATATTAGAAGAAAAGGAGAACAGACGTGAGAGGGAGAAAGAGATTGAAAGAATAATATGTGTGAGCAATATTATTCTACACTCTCTTATTTATATTGAACCCTTTCTTGGGTAATTATAATATTACCCTACATAAATATAAAACATAAAAAATAAGAACTCTTAACATTCTTCAATAGGGGGCAATTTGGCTTTGATGTGTCCAGGCTTGTTGCATTCGTAGCAAATAACTTCATTTCTTTTTGTGTTTTCTCTTTTTTGATATGAGTCTTGATTTCTCAAGAATCTTTTGAACTTTCTTGTGATAAAGGCAAGTTCTTCATCACTTTCTTCTTCCTCTTTATCATCTCCAGTTGTTGCCTTGGTTGACTTGAATGCAATGGATTTATTTTCTTTTTTCTCTTGCTCCTTATCTCTTTTGATGCCCATTTCATATGTCATGAGTGTACCAAGAAGTTCAAGAGGAAGAGCTTTGAGATTCTTTGCTTCAAGAATGGCGGTCACTTTGGCATCTTACAATCTCGATAGACACCTAAGAATTTTTCTTACAAGTTTCTCATTGGGCTAGAATTTACCGAGAGATTTTAGTGCATTGATAATATTAGTAAAGCGAATAAACATTTATGATATATTCTCATGGGGTTCGATCGTAAATTGATCATAGTCATGTGCAAGCATATTTAACTTAGATTCTTTAACTCTACTAGTTCCCCCATGTGAGACTTCTAGCATATGTCATATTTGTCTAACAGTTTCACATGTAGAAATGCTATTGAATTCACTCCTATCTAATACACAATATAGTTTATTCATTGTCTTGGCATTGCTAGTGTGTGCCTTCTTTTCATTACTAGTACATTCTTTCTTATCTTTTGTGGGCTTTACATTTCCATCTTCAATGATATCCCATAATGCATCATCTAAGGACATGATATATATTTTCATTTTAGCCTTCAATATGCATAATTACTTCCATCAAAGAATGGACATCTAGAGATAGATCGTCCTTCAACAATGTTTCCTCCTAGGGTTGTCATGATCTTTAGCTCAAGGTTGTTACACACTATGTCAAGAGCATTTGCTCTGATACCAATTGTTGTCCCAAATGCAACCTAAATTTTTTTTTGTTAGGGGAGGGGTGAATCAGTTTTCTACTTTTCAAAAATCTTCTAAAAAACACAAATACTATTTTATGAAATTGATATGATTTCAAGTGTATGAGTGTGAAGTGAATAATAATGAATGCACAAAATGTATAAGAGTGTAGAGAGATGCAAACATTTATAGATGTTCAGCCCCCAAATCATTTGGCCTACGTTCTCTCTTCTTTCTTCCCTTGGAGTTTCCTTTCACTATCTTTGTCATCTTAAAATTGGTGAGAATGATACCCTTAAAATATCCTTCTTGATGCAAATTGATACACCCCCTTTTTTACACTTTTCAAGAAGAATATACCAAGACCTCTCTTTCTAAAGAATATTCTCTCAATACAATATTCTCACAAAGCTGAGACTTTTTTACACTTTTCAAGAAGAATATACCAAGACCTCTCTTTCTAAAGAATATTCTCTCAATACAATATTCTCACAAAGCTGAGAATCAAAAAATAATCAATAAGATGTGCACAAGAATCTTCTTTTCAACATATAGACAAAAGCTTGATGAATCTCTTTTGTTTTTCTCAAATGATAAAAACTCAAAAAGTTGTGCTTGAAAGCTCTCAAGACCATATTTATAGTTTGGTGTAGTAAATGACATATATAAAGCTGTCAGTCAAAAAATCGAGTCATCCAGAAGCCTCCTCGGACTTCTACTTAGCCTTCCAGACATAGCCATTTGAGGCCTAACGGACATATCCGGACTTCCGACAAAACTCTGTCTGATTCTTCTCCTTGGCTCCTCAGAGTCTTTGTATTTCAGAAAAAATTAGAAAGCTTCCGAATATTCATCCGAAATTCCGGAAGGTAGTAACTGGACTTCCGGCTGGAACCAATTTAGAGTTCCTCGGAGTCTTTTATGTGCTCTTTCTTTCCTCAGCCATTCCTTTTCGACCGGACTTCCATAAGGTATATCTGGACTTCACGTATAGTCTTCCGCATGTTACATTTGGAATTCTGGATTCTTCTTCCGGATTGTGATTCTGTTTTATGCTTCTGTTCTTCTCTTTCCTTTTCTACTTTAACATATGTTTCGCTTGATCCTATACTCATCCATACACTGATTACAGGTGTTGGTCCATATTAGGATGTTTGTTATCATCAAAATAATGCTTATCAAGGCATCAGGTCAGTCATAACATAAAATAATAAGCATTTGGACTTCAAAAAAAGTCTATATATATATCTGGTCTGGTAAGATTATTGTCACCGGATGAAATTGAGAGATGGATATAGAGATTAGAGGGAAACCGGGTGAGAAGAAGAGGGGTAGGTGATTGTGCTACTTGCCGGCAACTGTGCCATTTTCCCTTGAGCTTTGTTTTGGATTTATGAGATCTAGTGAGTCGGCAACTAACACTGCCTAAGATTTTTCTGATAACTTTCGGCCCTTGTACCCCTGATTTTTGTCATCATTTGACTTGTTTTTTTGCTTAAATACTGTATTTCCAGAGAATATGTGTTGTGATTGGCAAGTAATTGCATGTTTAGTGCTTTAGTGTTAGGTCTATTTGTAATTGACCGTGATTTGCATATTTGTGGCTTTTTTTTGTTCTGTGGTCTTTGTTTGGATGGGGAATTGCTTGGAATTGGCCTGTGATTAGCCTCTATTTTTCTGTGATTGGTCTCTGTGAAAATAGAAATAAATGTATTATCTTACTTTTGTTGATTGGAGAAATTATATCACAGCATTGAGGGTCCACCCTAGACTACATTCGTGACTCTGCCCCTTGGCTGCTGAACATTGTTTATTTTGCATGTCCGCAGGAACGAGAACAAGCTCTGAGATCATTCAAAAGTGGTAACACTCCAATTTTAGTTGCAACAGATGTAGCAGCACGTGGTCTGGATATCCCACATGTCGCACATGTGGTGAATTTTGACCTTCCAAATGACATTGATGATTATGTCCATCGTATTGGACGGACAGGGCGAGCTGGGAAAACAGGGCTGGCTACCGCCTTCTTCAACGAGAACAATGCCTCTATGGCAAGGGCATTGACAGACTTAATGCAAGAAGCAAATCAAGAAGTACCTGCTTGGCTGTCCCGCTTTGCAGCTCGATCTCCCTATGGTGGAGGGAAGAATCGTCGTGGGGGAGGTAGGTTTGGTAGTCGTGATTTTCGAAGGGACTCCTCTTACAACAGAGGTAGTGCAGACTTCTATGGTGGGGGCAACTTCAATGGTGGATATGGGGCCTCTGCCGGTTACAGTGGAGCATATGGTCCTGGGGTAACTAGTGCATGGGACTAACATCCCTCAATTTACCACACTTAGCTATTTGAGGCAGACCTCTCTCCCCTTGCCTCTCTCTCTGTCTGTCTCTCTTCACCATTTCCTTTTCTTTTCTAATCTATGTTAGTATTTACAGTCCATCAGTATGTACCTGGAAGTTTTTCTCTTCAATGGAGTGTGGGATGTTTGGTATTGGCACCGGGAGGATAAAGATGTTAGATAAGCTGGTAATGGTGAATAACTACTAACAGATTAGCGATACTTTTGACTTCTTTTGATTTCTGCTTAATTTATGGTGGGTGATAGGTTTTAGAGTATGTGATGGGAGGGGGAGAGGGTAGATTATGTTTTAGCCTCTTATGCTGAAAACTAGTAATATTTTTATCTCCATGTTGAAAACGTACACTTCACCCTTTTATGGTTCCAGACTAAGTGTATTATGGTGAGAATTTTCGTTAAAATTGGAGGTCCAAAGTTCAGTTTTTTTAACAATATTACATTTATTTTTTAAGCCTATTGTCCATGTTATGTTTCTTCTTTATTTTATTATATTTTATTTTTTTTAATTTTGGGCTCCATAGCTCTGAGAGGTGGATACGGCCAGATCGAATCAACAAAACTTCCGTCACTGATGTCTATCCATGGTAGCGCGCGCACACACACGTACACACACTCTCTCTCTCTCTCTCTCTCTATATATATATATATATAGTGAATCTTATCCTTGTATATTTTTCTTTCATTTTTATTAAAAATTGATTTATTTATTTTTTTTATTAATTTGTGGCATAATATAATTTTTATTTCAAATATTATTCATATAAAATAGTGTACATGTGATGATATTTCAAATTCCGTAATTAAAAAAAGAGAAGTAAAGAATAATTATTATTTGATATATTATTAGTCGTTCAAATTTTATGTTATATTGTGCCTGGATTATGAATTAGTCACGTAATATTTCAGAACAGTTGACGCTCCGCGTTTGAATTTGTACTTTTATTTTATAAATTTGTAAATTCAAAATTTTAGTTCGTGAATTCACTTTTATATCTAGGCTTACTCATTATTACTTAAATTTTTATTTGAAAGTAATAACTCGTACATAAATATACATATCAAACTAGAATGATATTTATAACTAAAAATTCTTATTTCAAATATGTATTAAAATTAAATAGATTGTCACATAGCTGTGCATATAATTTAAGTTTTTATAAGTTTATTTGTATGAACGTGTTAATATTTGTCTGGATGCATATAATCTAACATTCTCATTCTCAAGGCGCTCCCACTCTCAAATATTTTTGAATTTTATTGTTTTTATGCACCCGCTATCGTTTCCGCTCTTACTCTCGCTCTATGCGATCTAGGTTATGACTACTATTATATGTGTGTGTGTGTGGGGGGGGGGGGGNAAATTATTATTTACTTAATAGAAAGGGGGTATAGAAAACAATACCAAATGGTATAATATAATAGTTTATCGGTCTTAACATCAAGAGAGTAATTGAGGTAGGGCCCTTTAACAAATCTTAGCGGATTAGTGGCAGGCATATCCGAAGGAGTACGTCACTAATGACATATGTGTAGCTTTAATTGCTGAAGATTTGGCCTCATCTAAGAGAGTCATTGTCAAGGGACCTCTTCATGTGGACGTCTCTTTTATTGTACTATATGAATGTTCACTTATTCGTCCATAGGCTTTGTTGTGAGATTTATTGTTGAAATACTCGGATTTGTATAATATCATCAAGTTGTCTTATTTGTGTCATGCTCAACAGTACATAGGGCAAATATTGCGTGGATCTGACATTGATTTAATTACATGGACACTTTTGTCATTTAAGAAATAACAATTAAATAATTGATTGACATTCTTACAAGTTTCAAATGTTACACTACCATTTTTCAAAGGACAGGGGTGTCCTGTAATTAAACGATATGTCAAGGTCCACATGATGTTTACTCTTTTTCATATTTGAAGTAAAAGCTCAATCCAGTTGCCGTAAGTAAGTGGAAGATTTGGGTCTAAGACTCCGTTAGTCTTACCATTTCCTTAAAAAGGAAAAAAAAATAAATAATGCTATTGAGACTTAATTTATTGACATAATTTGTTAACCTAATTCATCGTGATATTTGGATTGACTGTAGGTCCTATCAAATATTTAAATTTTGTGTTGATCTAATAATTCTTATAAACCCATCTAATTATATTAATAAATTATGTCAAATATTTAAATGTAAATAACATTATTCAAAAATATAAATACTTCCCGTTGTTCAATATTACAACTATTTCTAATTAGTTTGTTGGATTCTAGAAGTACTGGATTCTAGAAGTGCANACACAGTCCTCGCGTGAAGGATTTCTAATTTTCTGGCCGTTGTTAACATCAGGGTGGTGACTTGTGGGTGGCATGATATTCACCCTGACATTCATATTTCCAAATGGGAGAAAGCTCAGAAGGATACTGATTTGCATTCTTCTTTGAGGTGGACATAAGCCATGTTGAATTCGAAGTATAGTTTTCTACAGCCGTACGAGACAACTTGGACAACCGTTTGATAACTTTTTTTTACATGTTCTTTTTAGTATTTTTGAGTAACATTTTTATATTGTTATTCTTTCTTTGACCATTTTTTGGTCCTTTTTTTCAAGTTTCAATCTCATTTATTGTAGTAATGCACTTATCACATGTGCACATATATGAATACATTATTTGTATATTAATATGCACATAGAATGGTTCTGAAAAATACAATAAAGTATAATTTCTTGTGANTTCTTTGAAGTTTGTATGTGCGTAACATTTAGACCCCTGTCGTCCATATCCATTAATAAATTACACAAAAACCTCTTAAAGTTTGTAGGCGTATAACACTTAGATCTCTCAAGTTTAAAATATTACACGTAGACCTCTTATTAGTTATGGAACTAGTAAAATCTATTAAACATCCAAATTATCTCAATTAAGAATAGAAGATATTGTNCATCCATGGTAGCGCGCGCACACACACTCTCTCTCTCTCTCTCTATATATATATATATAGTGAATCTTATCCTTGTATATTTTTCTTTCATTTTTATTAAAAATTGATTTATTTATTTTTTTATTAATTTGTGGCATAATATAATTTTTATTTCAAACATTATTCATATAAAATAGTGTACAGGTGATGATATTTCAAATTCCGTAATTAAAAAAAGAGAAGTAAAGAATAATTATTATTNTCCTAAAAAAATGGGATTTTGCTTGGTTTTATGTCAATAGATTGATATAATAAAACTAGGGATAAACCATGACTGAAGACACAGTGAAATTCAAAAAAAATCGAGCACTGAATATAGACACGATTTAATCAAGCACTGAACTCAAACATGTACTAAGCTGAAAGCCTAAACTGTACTTATGACTTGTGCCTGAAGGTATTGTACAATTCAAAAGAAAAATAAATGAGCATTGTTCTTGAACACAAANTGTGAATTCACTTTGAATTTTATTGTTTTTATGCACCCGCTATCGTTTCTGCTCTTACTCTCGCTCCATGCGATCTTCTTTGAGGTGGACAAAAGCCATGTTGAATTCGAAGTATAGTTTTCTACAGCCGTACGAGACAACTTGGACAANTAAGCTAGAAGTCTAAATTGCATTTTCAATATCATGACTTTGATGAAACAAAGTGGGTCAGAATATTTTCGTTTCAATTGTTAGGAAGAATGTTAAAGCCCGAATGTTCTACGCATGCTAAAAAAATTGTCAATATTTAATCACAAAGAATTTATTTTGTTCTTTTAAAAATATTTGGACAGAATTTTCTCTAAAAATAGGATCCCAATAAACTATCAACCTATATAGACAATCAATAAAATATTAATTACACAATCTACCATCTAAAAAATGTTCTTTGCAATGCTTAACTTATATTGCAGTAATTCAATCAAATTGTGTTGTCTATTTTAAACGAAGACCCATAAAATAATTTGTGGTGCTTATACAATGGACCAAGTAAAATGTATGTGCCTATATAATAATTTATGCATCTAAAAGAGTAGAAAATCATTCTTCCTACATGAATAACTATACGAATACTTGTAAAAGTGATAGACAACTTTAATCACACAACAAAATGACATAAATTGCTTCTAAATCAATCTCCACCTCAATGAATGAACAAAAACTAAGCTTTGCCCAATTCAAAATTATATACCGTTGAATTATATTTTTTGTCATTCTAAAATTTATCCAATTCAAAAACCAAGCTCATTTTGTTTTATATTAATGAGAGAAATTGAAATAAATGTAAAAAACTTTCAAATTTTTGGCAGAATATTCTCTAAAAATATAATGATACAAATAGATCAACTTGTCTACAAACTTATATATTTCATAATCATATCCAAATCATGCCATATGCATACTAAAATTCAACTATGTACCTCTTACCACAACAACATAATAGTTTTTAATTTCGTCTTGCCTAAATACAATTATTTACTAACTACCACAAAAATATCATAATATTAAACATCTTTTAGCCTAAACATAACTATTTATCAATTACCAAAATAAAACACAATAATAATAACAATTGTCCTGCATATTTCAAACTTTTACCAACTACTACACAAAACATAAAAAAATCAACCCATAGTGTTACCTAAACACAAATATTTACCAACTATCACAATAAGATTAACCAAAAATTAAAGAATAACCACAAAATGTAATTATATAATATGCTTGCAAAATGGGCCATTCGTTATTCTAGGGTATCCTAGCCCATAATTGTGATTGGTCCTACATTGGGTTCATTAAACTTCTCTCCATCACAACCTTGAATGTCATTGTATCAATTCAAATCTACATCTTCCAATTGAGAGAATGTATAACAATATACAAAAACAAATTTAGTACATGACAAGACTTATAAAAACTATATACTGGGAAAAGAAAACAATAAACTATAAAGAATAAATTTAGTNCGTAATTATATAATATGCTTGCAAAATGGGCCATTCGTTATTCTAGGGTATCCTAGCCCATAATTGTTATTGGTCCTACATTGGGTTCATTAAACTTCTCTCCATCACAACCTTGAATGTCATTGTATCAATTCAAATCTACATCTTCCAATTGAGAGAATGTATAACAATATACAAAAACAAATTTAGTACATGACAAGACTTATAAAAACTATATACTGGGAAAAGAAAACAATAAACTATAAAGAATAAATTTAGTTACTTTATTCAAACAACCACATCGACAAAGATGGGTAGTATTTAGTCTTTTTAACTCTTGTACTTCTTCATCCCAATTCTGCAAAGATTAAATAAAATTGTAAAGATAAAATAATATTATTAAAATGTTAGTTATCAGTAGAAATAAACTTGTAAATGATTTATACCCTTTGGTTATAGTAGAATACAGAATGTTACAACAAAACCTCATGGTACTTAATATT